TATAAAAATGAAAAATAATATTAACTCGTCAGAGTTCTATCAGAGTTTGAGATCTATCAATACCAAAAAAGCTTTATAATTCACCTTTCAATTTCAATTCTTCGGAATCGTTGCACGTAATTGCCACCATTTTTCCAATTCGTTGCAAGCGTCGATACCTGTTAATCGTGATTTCTACACCTTTTTCCCGATAATAAATGAGACTAGTGATAATGATGGACAGATAATGGCGAGTACGATATATGGGCAACCCTCGCTGTAACCGCGATCATTCAGTTTCACTCGATCGTCTTTGCTTTATTCGAAATATGTGGTTTACCAGTGTTGGCCAGTTCGAATATTGATAAACGGTGTTCACTCTCCGCGTTAAGAATCTCGAATTGTCGGATCGAAGAGAGGAAGGAAAGAATCGGAGAGGACAGGAGGTAAAGGAAGAAATCTATCATCGATTACGATTTGATTCGTTCGAATGGTCGATCAATCATCGAATCCGTTGATCTTTCAGTAAAGCATTTCGCTTCGGTGTTGGTGGTTACGTTCCTTTTCAACGTTAATCCCAAAGAAATGGAAAGCACGGCAATGATTAATGGCACACCCATCCACCAGGAGAGCAGGAAACTGTGGCAGTACCTCGCCTCTATTTCCGGTATTTTCACGGAAACGGACAATACGCGTTACAGTCATTTTTATCTCTGTGTTCATCTGCGATTTCGTTATGATTTACAAGAAAGATGATTGAAAATTTCAAAAGATTTTGAAGTCTACGTGGTGCTAATAACAAAAGAATTCTCTTCCCTGTTGGAAAATAGCTCTAAGGAATGAAAGAGTCCTCGAAAAATATCTTAATGATTTGCGAGGACTGAGAAATAACTGACGTAATATCTTAGCGTAAAGACTTGCGAATGTAAAGCTGTCACAGTATAAATATTTTGTTTTGATTAAGTTTTTGAAAATTTGTTTTTAAAACTTTACCACCAGACGATGAAAAAACGATACTGAACCTTTTCTCTGTATCTTGCATTGTATCATAAATATCTAGAATAGTAGAAATAGTCAGGATTTCTTTGAAGGGATGTTTTCCTGCACAGAAGAAAAATTATTACCATCGCGTAAACTATATTTGCGCAGAGTTTCAACATTTTTCTGAGCTTACCGAAATTTCCTCATTAGAGTTTGTTGAACTATTAGGTGTCTCGAGCAGAGTAGTTAGTAAACGAAGGCGAGTAGTTAGTTTCGTCGGAGTGTCGGAGTGTAATTGATGAAATTAGTACGTGCTTATACACAAGGAACAAATTGAAGTACGTTCTTTGTAAAATAACTCCTCCAACGGTTGGAGAACATGCATAGTAACTCTTTTCTGTAATCTCTCTCGTTTTAGTTTTTTTTATCGTTTTATTTACTTACATCGCTCCGATTTAATTTACGTTTCGAGAAAGTGACATCGCACTGATAAAACCAGAAGCGGAAAAACACACGTTCTCGTTCGAACATCATTGTAAGACAACGAAGATACTGTTCAAGTCGAAACAATGTCGTATTTCATTGGTCGAACCCCGTCAGGCTATTATACTGTTCGTGCAAACTCGGCCTACGATGTTTCATCCCGTACGTGTAAATAATCTTCTTTTCATTCCCGATACGGTCACCGGTTTTTCGGCCAGCTGCTCCGCGTTATCGCGTCACTATGCATCATCGTCTCGACGTGTCGCAATTTTATAATTGAATTTAAGTGTAACAGATACAAGCGACGGCAAAGTGTACGATTATCGGCCGATAATCTCGCGAAGTTACGTAAGATCGATAGACGAGTATACATACGTGAAGCAAAATTTTAATGCAAAAGTCGAGTAAATCGGTTTTGGTGGGAAAATCGCAGAGCACAGGATGCGTTAAAATTGTTCCATCACCCTTCTCGATTCACAAATTCTTGTTTTCTAGCATGTATATTGGTGGCCGGAGTGGGCACAGCCCTAGCATGGACCTCGACCGTGCTTCCTCAGTTGGCTGCAGCTAATTCATGGCTATTTATCACGGAGGAACAAGGTTCCTGGATCAGTTCTCTGCTCGCGGTCGGCGCCATTGTCGGTGCACTGGGTTCAGGATCGATGGCCGACAAAATGGGACGAAAGAAGTCGCTTCTTCTGTTGTCTGTTCCATTCTTGGCCTCCTGGGGTCTCATCCTCGTCGCGAAAAACGTAAGGCTCCTCTACATTGCCAGATTTGTGGTTGGTGCTGGCGTTGGAGCGGGCTGCGTCCTCGGGCCCACGTACATCTCTGAAATTGCTGAAGTCTCGACCAAAGGAACGCTGGGTGCTCTCTTCCAGCTGTTCCTCACCGTTGGAATTTTCGTCGCCTTTATCCTCGGCAGCGTTCTTAATTACACCATGTTCGCCCTTGTCTGCGCTCTTATCATCGTTCTCTTTTTGATCACTTTCTACTGGATGCCAGAATCTCCTGTCTGGCTGGTGGTTAGTAATAAGGAAGAATTACATCTTCATGACTACGCTTTGTTCAAATGATTGACCAATGCAATCATCTTTCTAGAGTCAAAACAGACGGCAGGATGCCTTGGCGGCGTTGTCGGTCCTCAGAGGAGAGAATTACGATGCAAAGCAGGAAATGAACGAGATGCAAAAGGCAGCAGAGGCAAGCGCCGGTAGGAAGCCTAGCATCATTGAAACGGCGAAAGATCCGGTTAACAAGAAGGCGATGGTTGCCTCTTTTGGTATGATGTTCTTTCAGCAAGCTTCCGGTGTAAATGCCGTGATCTTCTACACGGTGATGATATTCAAGGCATCTGGAAGCTCGATACCGCCTGAATTAGCATCCATTCTCGTCGCGTTGGTTCAGGTTCGTTTAGGTTTTTATATACCACCTTGATTAATCCTTTGATTTTAGTTATCATTAGAATAACTAAAAATCTAAATTTAGGAAGATCTTTAAACATATACCTTTTGATCTGTTCATCCAATATAGTGGGATACGTTATCCTCTAATAATTAAACAGATTGGTACATGTGAAATGTCGTTTCTTTGAGTTTATCAATTATCAACTGTGAAATGGATTGAAGAAAAAGAAATTTCGTATAAATCACGTGTATTCAGCGTGGGAAAGATTTTTGATTAATGATCGTCACGAATGATCACAGCACCTGCATGTAATTTTATATTTAGAACAGAAACATAAATTAATTAAAAGGAACAACAAACGAAATATTCCATGAAATTTCCGAAAACTGAAATTGATAATTCCCGTAATTTTGGAATTTGTTAACTAGAAAAGTACATATCGAATCGTGTAGAAATAATTACACGATCAAAGTTATATTTGATCATACACTTTATATGCATCGACCAGTGTAGTAATTATTTTATGCATGCCAAATTACCTGTACGATATTCTAATACCGATCGAACGCCGAGTCAACAATTTCGAAATTAAAAATATCGCATGTTTGCCATGCTGCCGGGAAAATTTATTACACGCACGACAAATTTAGCGAGTAATTCTTGGAACTTTTCGTCCCGATTTACCACGGAAATATTTGTTTCCTCGAACAGGCAATCTCGTTGCCCGATTCTTCTTCCTTTAATTGCCACGTAGCCGTAAATTAACGAAGCAATTTGCTCGCAAGAGATGTTTGCAGTGTAAACGTTGTTCGTTGTGCAGTTGGTGATGTCAGGTGTCGCGGCACTGATTGTGGATCGAGCCGGAAGAAGACCGCTGCTTATGATTTCTACCAGCGTTATGTCAGTCAGTTTGATCGCGCTTGGATACTACTTCCACCAGAAAGACGGCGGAAATGACGTCAGCTCGCTAGGCTGGCTACCGCTCGTTTCCCTGATCGTTTTCATGATCGCCTTCTCCATTGGGTAAGTACAAGCAGTAATTTCTCATGTTCTCTATCGTGTCGGATAAGACACCCAGAAATAGAAAGAGATCTAGACCATCGTTTGATAGCGGGAAGTTTGAAATATCAACGGAAGATGTTTCAATGTTGTTTTTGGGCGGAGGATTGCGAGATATCTTGCATATTTCTCATTCCCCGACTGTGGAATTTTATGCAGAGTCTTCTTCCTTGTTGCTGTTTGCATTCTCAAGTGAAGAATTTGCGATTGTTGATATGAAGTATATTCCATCAACAGTTACATTAAATGTCATAGATATTATAACTAAAGATTGTAAAATTTTATATTACGTGTAACATTGTATTGGCAGAGTAACAGGATCTGTTCTGCGATTATTGCTGCATCTTTGGTTAAGACAGTTCAGCTTTTTCCAAATTGCACCACCTATCACAGCAACATATGTTTCCCCACGCAACTAGAATTCCTCGTAATTTTCTTAGTAACACACAGCAGGCTTACAATTTCTTTTAGCCCTTTTGAAACCCAAGATTTACGATGTTTGATCAAAATTTTAAAGTTAGATTAGATTTTAAAGATAGTTCTCCTAACACGTGTGTTTCCACTTTCTCTTCGAACACGTGACTAATATTTTCTCATAAATTCGCAGTCCACTAATCCACAAAAAACGTTCTTACTTTCAGATTGGGCCCAATACCGTGGATGCTGATGGGCGAGCTGTTCTCTGCAGAAACGAAGGCCGTTGCCTCCAGCGTCGCGGTCATGTTAAATTGGGGGCTGGTCTTCGTGGTAACTAAAATGTTCCCGACGATGAACGAAGAGTTAGGCTCCGACATGACGTTCTGGAGCTTCGCCGTGGTTATGGCTACCGCCACAGCTTTCACGTACATGATAGTCCCGGAAACTAAAGGGAAAACCTATCAAGAAATTCACGACGAACTTCAAGGTGGCACCGGCGAAACTTCACCGCTCAAATCTGTCCCCTGAGAGCGATATCAATTATTACTTTAACCTCTTAGAGAGAAAACATTTCCTACCTTTTTCTACATTCCAGTGCATTCAAGCCATCCTCTCGTCTTTCTTTAAATGTCAATCGAACGACATTATCGCATTGTCATCGATCGCGGACGACCGTGGCCTATCATTCTTTTAAATATGTGCGACATCTCGATTCATTTGACAAGTCTAATTATTTTTACCGATCAAACAGCCACGTTGGTGTTTGACGCATTCGAGAAATGGACGTTGACATTGAAACACGATCGATCTGGTATATTTTCAACGAATGCTATCTGTCAACTACGAGGACTGTAATTTTCGTTCTGTCAAAGCATTTTTTTGGAAGAAGGCCTGGTTCAAGTAAGGTTGCACGTGAAAGATTTACAGACAAAACAGATGCTGATACACATGGGCACCGGAAGCGTAGTAACTGGGACAATTTTCTCGACGATAGAATCAAGCTGGGCAGATTTGTGAAACTGACCAAAAACTTTGCTGTCGTTTCGATTTTCCATTCCGGCTTTTCGAATCGTCAACATTTGACAAAATCAATTTTTTCTTATTTTTTTTTGGTCTTCTGTGATTTTTTATAACATCCCTATGTATTTATTACGTCTATCGAAGAGAATCAAAGATGCTCCATCAGTGATTTATTTATTTCCTTTTCTTAATCAATTTATCTTCGTTCGATCAAATTTGTTTGATAATTCGTTCCGACCCGAGGCAGAGGGAGAGAGAGAGGAGTTGTCTTCACCTGTAAGTGGTATGATCTTGATGACATTCACTATGGAATGGAAAGATTCACCGTTGCACCGCGAGGTGTTAGATTCGCTCTATCGTCTTTTATTTTCCATTCTCTTTGATTTACTCGAGGCGACTTCGAGACGAGTGTCTCGAGCGCTGATAACCGCGATAACTATCTAAGGTATTGACGAGTAACTGATTGATCGACGCGTAATTCTTCGTACCCTCTCCTTGTCTCTCTCGTCTTCCCCCTTTTTTTTTCTTTTCTCGCTGCATTTTCTGACACAATCGTAACAAAGAATCGACGTCACTCGCGTGGTCATTTTAACGCTGCTACGTTCTCTCATTTACACTTACCAAAATTAA